TTGTGTTTCGACGCCAAAAATGTAGAAACAACAGGTTCGCAATAAATTATTTTCAACAAGGTCAAGTTTAAAGAATTAAGTACCTAACTTTGCGGGTTCCCAAACATTACAGTTCTTAAAAGGAAGCTTATAGACTATAAGAGAAGTTCAACTTGGTCAAAAATTATCTTGCGTGTTTTTGACGAAGTAAAGTTTAAAAAATTAAGTACCTACTTTTGTGGGTTCTCAAACATCGCAGTTAACATAGGATTCGTTAAAACCTAACAAAACAAATTGTTAGGTTGGCACCTAGGCTACCAGAGTGGCCCGGGTCCACTTGCCCGGCCGGGCCAAAAGGAAATAAAAAAATAAAAAAAATCATTTTTTTTTAAATTTATATTTTAAATTTAAATTTTAAATTTAAATTTGGTAAAGAATTTCGATGTGACCCTAAGGCAAAAGATGCTTAATTTATTTTTCTGCATAACATAATTTTTCTTCGGATTTTCTGGATTTTTTTTTTTTTTTTTTTTTTTTTAGCTGTGACCTTCCCTAATCGTTGCACGACCCGACCGCCCGGGAAAATAGGGTGATCCGGGCGGCCCTTCTGGTAGCCTAGGTTTGCACGAAATTTATTCAAGATTTCAATAGTACGTTTTTCAAGCCTCCTCCAAAAACAAAATTCTACGTGCAGTAAAACAACCAAAAGAAAAAAAACAAGAAAAATAATTTTTCAGAACCACTGGAAGTGGCGAGGAAAAAAACAGGTGTTTCCACATAAAATCACTACCTGGTGAAGCAGAGTATGTTCAAGAACTGAAATATCCCGATTTTTTGTTATTTAAAAAAATCATGTTTATAGTCCTATAAGATGTGTAGCACGATGAACATATTCGGGGTTTTTTCGAACACGCAAACATGTTCTCAAACATATTCTCTCATACATGGGCGAACGTATTATTTTTTATTGTTCGTTTTAATTATTATTATTATTTTTTTAATTTTAAACACGTGTTTGGCTAAGAATTTGAAGATCTCTCCGAGGCAAAAATTATTTGTATTCTTATTTTAAATAAGATATATATTTTTATAAGAGTTTTACTATTAACTTCAAATTTGATATGTCCTCTAAATTAGTTTTCGTAGAGTTTGGTTTTTGCCTAACTGCTGAAAATAACTTATAGTCTTATAAATGAGTATTTACCAAAATCCGTTTCTTTTTACATCTTTCAAGTTTGCCTTGTAGTCCTTAAAAATTATCCTATTAGAGTTTTGTTTTTTGCCAATCTACTGAGAGTGACTTGTCATATAAAAGGATTTTGCAAGAAAGGGTTTTCTCGCCACTTTTGAGGAACGCTTGACTTTTCAACTGATTTTTTGCCTCGTTTATCGAAAAACAGTTAAAAACGCTATTTTTGTGTAAAAAATAACAGTTATATTTTTACTTTTTCATTCTATAAAAAATGTGAGGTTTTGTCCTTTTATTAGGTTTTCACGAATCAAGTGTTAGTTTTGAAAATGAACCTTATAGACTATGATAGAAGTTGGTCAAAAGGTATCTTGCGTGTTGTTCACACAGGCCTACAAGACCATTTGTTAACTTGGGTGGGAACTCGGATTTTCACTGAAAGTGTTAAATGATTGCACGCGCAAAAGATTCATTTTATAACTTTTGAGCCAACCCTTGTATAAAGTCTTTAAGGTTGCATTTGTAAGTTGTTAAATATTTTCAATGACAAATACGATGTTATAGGACTATAAAGCGATTTCTTTTTACCTGTGAAAAGTACCTTTCCACTGAGGATGCTTGCAGGACTCTGTTACAGCTTGACCAAAAGTCTTGTCAGGCTAAATCCTCGATATAGGACTATAACGCGATTTCTTTTGACCTGTGAAAAGTACGTTTCTACTGAGGATGCTTGTACGACTCTGTTACAATTTGACCCAAAGTCTTGTCAGGCCAAATTCTCGGTATAGGACTATAAAGTGATTTCTTTTGACCTGTGAAAAGTACCTTTCCACTGAGGATGTTTATAGGACTCTGTTAGAACTTGACCAAAAGTCTTGCCAGGCTAAATTCTTGATATAGGACTATAAAGCGATTTTTCTTGTCTCGTATTTTCACGGACTTTTGTGAAAAGCCCTTGAGATGACATTAGTTTCTCAATAAACGTTTGCATTAGAAAGGAGGACGTTATAGGACTATAAATCATTTCTCTTGTGCTGTTAAAACTACCTGTTCGTTGGAGAGATTGAATTTCAAACCTCAGCCCAAGGTGGGAGACGTGGCTTGTCGAACGAATCCGTTATAGTCCTATAAGTTGGGTCTGCGATTTTGACGAAAATGGACCAGAAAATTATTTTCATGTTTCACCTGTCACTCCTTAGACAAAAAACATTGAAAAATAAAAAGGTTGGGAGGTTGTGTAATTTTCGTCGACGTCATTTCAAGTTTTTCGAGCAACTACGGAGGTGGCGATTCTTTGAGGAAGCAGAAGTGTGAAATTTGAGACTTTTCTCAACACGTAAAATTCGGGGTGCAACAATGGGTAACAATTTTGTTTTTTCAAGCTCATTTTGTGCTTTGCCCCTTAATTAAAAGTGTTTCCCGCAAAACTATTTCTATTCGTTTTCTTCATTCGATTTTGCTTTCCCTTGAATCCACCTACATTAAAAGGGGTCAAAACTCGTATTTCCCAAAATTTTCAAACTTTTCGTTCAAACCCAACATTTTTTTTTTAGGTTTACACGAATCCTTTGTTTGTTGTCGATGCCGACCTCCGCACGTATGCACAAGGCACCGGTAAGCGCATTAATAAAAATACAAAATCTTTTTAATCATAGTTTAATCAGAAAATTAAAATTCTTGACCGACAACCGTGCCGACTCTACAATCATCAACAAGGAAAAAAATCACGTGCTCCTTAAATCTGCGCGCCCTCAACCATCCAGCCGGCGTAAACCACAGACACAGCCGCGCCTCACTCGGTATACTTAAACTTTAAACCAAACCTTTCTTTGTCGTTTGCAAAACCAAGGGCGAATACCCTTGTAAGGGTATTCACACCGACATCGTCATCTGCCACACCAGGCGAATGCGACTTCGTTCCATTTCGTCGTCAATTGCCACAGAAACATCGATGTCAGAAATTCGGTCCAAAAGCACTTGGCGGTCGGTCGCCACGGCCTCCGTATTCCCCCCTTTGCAATGGGCTCCACGAACTGCTGCATGTGGCGAGCGGCCCTTACAGCACCGCCTTGGCAGTAGGCCTGGCTTGGCCTGTAGTGCTGGCGAGTTCTCACCGCGCATGGTATGAATTTCTGGTCCCCATCTCCTGAAACACACATGTGGCGAAATGCCAGCACCGTTCCATCGCTCAGCCACCCGCCACAGTCTAGTGTTGAGGCCGGGGCCAGTTACCAGAACTTGTGTGGCGCCACGCCGCCACCACTCGCCACGATTCATGGCAGATGGCGAGTAGTGAAACGAGGCCCTTAGTCCTCACCGGTTTGACTACCAACACTTGCCCGGAGGGCGAAGTGTCAGGGCCGTTTCTCGACGACGTCCGCCGTGTCGTCACACGAGGACCAAAAGTCCGAGATAGGCGTACCCAAGTGCCTCAAAATTTTGAGACTTTTGGTCCTCGTGTGAGTATGCCCTCAGAATCCGCGACAACTGGGGCATAGCGATTCCGGACTCGTGTGCTGGGCGAAGAAGAGGGGTGGTTACTTTGTAACCTGCTTGCACCTCGCTGCACTACGTGCCAAATGTGTAGAATGAAGTGTATTTTAACGAAGAAGACGGAGAGGTACACTCGAAATTTGTTTTTGTCCTTTCATAGTTGGAGAGCGGCAAAGCGAAGCCGTTTGTCTTCCCATTTGGCGCGTATTGGAACCCTTGCCGCACCACTCTCCGAAATTACAAAATGCGTCATGTTTTTCCCCCTTAAACGCCGTAACATACATCCGCCATTGTATTTGTGCTTTTCACGTCTGTCTGCGGCAAGGTCCTACTTGCACGGATTAGGAGATTTCGGCCGTTGATCTCGGCTATCTACGGTCTCTATCTCTTAATTCGTGCAAGTGGGACCACTGTAGCCCCTCGTCGCGGGAAAAGCAGAAAGGGCAGATCTTCCCGCCAATGTTCAAAGACTGTCGCAGCTCGCCGCCTCGCTGCGGGAAAAGGAGAAAAGGGCAGATCTTCTCGCCAACGTTCAAAGACTGTCGCAGCTCTTTTTCTTTTCGAGTTTTCGGAGATGTCGCGCCTCTTTTGGTTGGCTGGACTTTGCCGAATGCATCGGAACTTATTTGCGCTCAGATTCAATCTAACCACTGCTTTTCTCTTGTGTCATTTTTGCCGCTGCTATTTCTTTTCTTTTCTTTTCTTTTCTTCTTCTTCTTCTTCTTCTTTTTTTTTTTTTTTTTTTTTTTTTTTTTTTTTTTTTTTGCCGCTGCTATTTCCGCTCCGCGCAAGCATACGAAAATTTTGCTGCCTGCCCCCGATATATTAAGGACATACATTTTGTACTCGAAGGAGAGGCGCTAGCGGGGTCGGTCGCTGGTTTCATCGAAGAGGGGACAACGTCGCCATGTCCGTCAACAACGTTGAAATAGCCATCCGTCTCCAGCGGGGCTGGTCGCGATGCAGAGAGAAGCTCTGTTTCTCTGTCAAGAGAGCTGATCGGGAAGGTGGTGGCGAGTCCTCAGGTACATTTCGCCTCCGGAAGGAAAGAGACTCTGCGTTTTTTGAGAGTCTGCGTTTTGGCACCACTTGGTGTGTGCGCGCCTGAGTTCGCTTCCTTCTGAAGCTCTTGTTTAGTCCTTGCGAACTTCGCTTATACTCTGACGCCCTCTGCTCTCCTTCTGAAGCTATAAATTGGCTGCCACTGCTCGAGAAAGGGAAATCGTGGAAGCACCAATCTAGTTGGTAGCACTGGACGAGCTCGGAACTCGTAGTCGGTAATCTGAATGGCACGGCGGCTCTGAGTCACGCGCCTGTTCTGCATTTTCGATAGCTGGATTTGTAGGACCAACTCTCTCTCTCTCTCTCTCTCTCTCTCTCTCTCTCTCTCTCTCTCTCTCTCTCTCTCTCTCTCTTCCTCGGGACGTTCGGACTGTGCCACAGCTATGGGTTCCGAGCCTGTGGACGTGGGCAGGATGGCAACGGACTCTGAGGGTCGGGAACTGAAGCCGAGGCCGGAGAAGATGCCGGAGCTTTCTCGCATTGCGAGCATGACTGTGCGAGTCAAGGACTCGATCCGAGAACACCGTAATCAAATCATATTTATGCTCTCTCGACTGGTAGAGAAAGGCAAGCATACTCTGCAGCCGCATGACCTGCAGCAGCAGCTGGAGCGCGTCGGCGCTATCGAGTGTTTTTCAGGAACTCCGATCGACGACAGCGCGTTCGGAACGCTTCTGCAATCGGCTCAAGAAGCGGTCGTCATCCCGCCATGGATCGCGATGGCGGCCCGACCACGTGTGGCTGAATGGCTCTATGTACGAATCAACGTGTTTGAGCTGACGGTAGAAGAGCTGAGTGTGTCGGAGTACCTGAGCTTCAAAGAGCAGTTAAAACTTGCCAATCCTGTGGACGAATTTTCGCTCTTGGAGTTCGATATGTCGCCGTTCAACGCGCACTTCCCGCGCATGACTCGTCCGACTTCCGTCGGCAACGGCGTCGAGTTCCTAAACAAGCACCTTTCGACGAAGCTGTTCAAGAATGCGAAAGCTTTGCAGCCACTCGTAGACTTCCTGCGCAATCACAAGTACCACGGCGAAACCTTGATGCTGAACGACAAACTGGAAGACTTGCCTGCCCTTCGCGACGGACTGAAGAAGGCAACAGAGTACTTGTCTGCTGTCGGAGCGGCAGATGCCCCAGTCTCTGCCGAGGTCCAGCAACAGCTTCGCGCTTTAGGATTCGAGAACGGATGGGGAAACTGCGCCGGCGCTATCAAGGACATGATGGAACTGCTGGAGGACCTGATGCAAGCGCCATCGCCAGTTCTGCTCGAGAGGTTCCTCGCTCGCGTGCCCACCATCTTCAACATCGCCATCATTTCTCCGCACGGGTACTTCGGCCAGTCCAACGTCCTCGGGCTTCCGGACACAGGCGGGCAGGTGGTCTACATCTTGGACCAGGTCCGAGCGCTGGAACGGGAGATGCTGAATCACGTTCAGAACCAGGGGTTGCGGTTCAAACCGCAGGTCGTGGTTCTGACCCGCCTGGTCCCAGACGCCCACGGAACCAGCTGTGATCAGAGGTTGGAGAGGATTGAAGGCACGCAGTACGCGAAGATCCTCCGTGTGCCCTTCAGAGACCTGACGAAGGGTGGCGACGCAGTCTTGAGGACATGGGTGTCGCGCTTCGATATCTGGCCCTACTTGGAACAGTTTGCCGACGATGCTGCCAAGGAACTCGTCCGGGAGATGGGCGGAAACCCAGACCTTATCATCGGCAATTACAGTGACGGCAATCTTGTGGCCACGCTGTTGTCCCACAGAATGCGAGTCACGCAGTGCACGATCGCGCACGCGCTGGAGAAGACCAAGTACCCGGCCTCCGATGTCAACTGGAAGGAGCAGGAGGACAAGTATCACTTCTCTTGCCAATTCACTGCCGATTTGATCGCCATGAACCACTCGGATTTCATCGTAACTAGCACCTATCAAGAGATTGCCGGCGGAAGAGACACCGTTGGACAGTACGAATCTCATCAGGCCTTCACGATGCCGGGGCTCTACAGAGTCGTGAATGGGATCAACGTCTTCGATCCCAAGTTCAATATCGTAGCGCCTGGAGCGGATGCCGAGGTGTACTTCCCGTACACTGCCAAGGAGAGGCGTCGTACGGAGTTCCATTCGGCCATCGAAGATCTGTTGTTCGGTAGCATGGAGGAGCCTGCGCTGTGCAAATGCGTGATTAAAAATAGACACAAGCCTATCTTGTTCTCGATGGCGCGGTTGGATCGTGTCAAGAATCTCACGGGCCTCGTCGAGATGTTTGGAAAGAACAAGAAACTCCGTCGCCTTGTTAATCTCGTGGTAATTGGCGGGTACATCGATCCGACGCTGTCGAAGGATCGCGAGGAGATGGAGCAGATCAATCTGATGCAAGAACTCATCGACAAGTACCAATTGAACGGCGATATGCGGTGGATTGTCGCGCAGAAGAACAGGGTGAGGAATGGGGAGCTGTATAGATATGTGGCTGATCAACGCGGAGCGTTTGTGCAGCCGGCTTTCTACGAAGCCTTCGGATTGACGGTCGTCGAGGCCATGACGTGTGGGCTTCCAACGTTTGCCACGTGTCATGGTGGACCGGCGGAGATCATCGAGGACGGGAAGTCTGGCTTCCATATCGATCCGTACAATCCCGATGAGACGGCGATCGCCATAGCCGAGTTCTTTGAGAGAGCGGCCGCCGAACCTGCCACGTGGGATGCCGTATCCAATGGTGGCCTGGAGCGGATAAGAAGCAAGTACACGTGGGAAATCTACGCGCACAGATTGATGACCTTGTCCAGAGTGTACGGTTTCTGGAAGTTTGTCAGCAATCTCGACCGCAGAGAGGCCAGACGGTATCTAGAGATGTTCTATATTCTCAAGTACCGACCCCTCGTGAAGAATGTGCCGTTGACTGTTGACGGGCCCGATCGGCCCATGGCGGGAAGAAGGTGAAAAGGCGCGGGAAAGAGAAGGTGAAAATGCGGGAAACCTGCGGAAAAGAAGTGTGAGGAGCAGAGAAAGGTGGCCTGGAGGACGAGGCTCGTCGGGGAAAAGGCGCAACCCGCGCGGGAATGGGACTTGCTGGAAGAAGACGAGAAGGATGGTATGGAGAAGGAGACTGGAGTGAGCACCATGTGCACGACATGCGGCGATGGCGATCGGGAACGAGACGGTGAGGAGCGAGAGAGGAGCATTGCGCTAGACTTCGAGGCTGACCAAGTGACTTTTGAAAATAAGACAAGAAGAATGGTCGTGAATGAGTGATCGATTCTTCGGCGTAGAAGCCTCTACGCTTGCTTGAGACACCTAGCAGGAGAGAGAGAGAGAGAGAGAGAGAGAGAGAGAGAGAGAGAGAGAGAGAGATTGGATTTACTAGTTTTGTTGGTTGTGCGGTTCGTCCTGCTCTGGCGTCGGGCACCTTACCGTCGAGAGGTAGAGCGGCCTTGTTAACTGGATCATTTATTTCGGTTTTCCATTCATTTTCTTATTACTTTCATTTCATAATGTTGCCATTTGAAGACATCAATCTGATACTGCATTTTATGGACAGCTCTTGGGTGTTCTGACCCCACACAGCTTTTGCTGGTCCATTTGCCACAGAGGCAGTGATGTCCAGGTTGTAAAAGCCACACTTTCGGGTATGGTTTATGGAGTGTCTTTTTTTTTTTTTTTTTTTTTTTTTTTTTGTGGCCCGATGGACCACGGATTAGATATTAAGCTGATCAGGGGCGCGGTCCCACTAGCAAAGAGGATTGGATTGAACGCCTGAATCTGGACGGGTTTGTGCAAAGGTGCAGAAATTTGAGATTGAACTGCTTTTCTGCATCTCTGCTGAAAACAAGCCCAGATTCAGGAGCTTTATCCGATCCTCTCCGCTAGTGGGACCTCGGCCCAGAAGATTCAGAAAAGATACTACACTTGATCGTAGCCAAAAGGTCGAGAAAGGTTTTTCTTTTTTTTTCCGTTTTTCTATGTGGAGTCTTACCTTTTGGGTCATGCAGTTTGGTTTCTCTCAGAGAAAAAGAGGGCATCCCTAATGCACTTGTAGGCTGTGAAAAAGATGATCATCAGTGGGCAGGCCTTAAGGCTGAAGAGGCGAGATCTGCATGCAATCATGGGGCTTAATGGGGATGGGCACGATGGGGGTTAATACTCTGTTCCATGTGAAATTTCATTCCGATGGGACCCTGCGTGCTGTTCTCCAGCAGTGGTGATCCTTACCAATGGATTGGACCCTCTTTTTCATTATTATTTTTTTTTAACATAAGCGAAAGGCAGTTGCATTACCATGGGGTTACCGTCTGCGCAATTACCACGGCGGGCCCTGCAGGTTTTAACATAAGCGAAAGGCAGTTGCATTACCACGGCGGGCCCTGTTCTCCAGCAGTGGTGGTCCCCACTAATAGATTGCACACTGTATAAATAAGCAAAACGCAGCTGCATTACCATGGGGTTACCGTACGTGCAACAGCCCGTTGGAACAACGAGCGTTGTTTCTGAGAGAAACCATATACGAAAGGAGACGTTTTCTTTATTTTTATTGAGACTTGAACGAACCCCTTTTCTTTATTTTTATTGAGACTTAAACGAACGCCTTCTCGTGCACAGTCCGATTACGAAAATGGCCCCTGCAGGTTTCGAACCTGCGACCTTCGCGTTATTAGCACGACGCTCTAACCAACTGAGCTAAGAGGCCCGTTCATGGATGTGATTTTCATGGGCTTCATCTATGCGTTGCATTCTTGGATGTCAACGACAGAGATAGCCTCAGATAGGAAGGGCTATTTCCGCAATTGGGCTGACGGGGTGATTTTTCAAGAATGCTAGTACGTTGAAGTGTAGTTTACTACCATAGTTTCCATAATTATGCTTAACAAGAAGGAAAAGAGTTTGGGCAAACCAATAGCGTACTTGGGTTTCAAGAACTCTCATGGTCTGTCGAACGAGATCCTAGGGGCATACTCACACTCCTTAGCACGCATCTGGGCTCATTTACGGCAAGATTCAGACCAGAAAGTCCTAGAGTTAGGAAGGTCTTAAGTGAACATTTTCCCACACGAAACTTCTCAGCATGCATGTCACATATTTAGGGTCAGATCCAGCCCAGGAAGTCCTACCGTCTTTACCGATTAGAACGCCCGGTAATTATAGCTGCATCTGGACTGAAAGTTGCCCCAAATACAGCTTTAATGACCGGGCGTTCTATTCGGGTGTGCACGGTAGTGCGTGAGGACCCAGAAAGCCACTTTGTGGAAATGGACGAAGTAAACATGTCCCCACCAGCCCCTTGATGCTGGCCGTACCTAATTCATCCCGGGTCCGATTGAGGGCGTACTCACACTAGCTCTGTCTTAATTTTAAATGTATCTGACCCCATTTACGGCCGGACCTGTATACATTTGGCTGCAATTTCATCCAGAAACAAGTATAAAAAGGTCAGTAGGCTAAGTGTGAGTATGCCTTGAGTCCTGTTTTCTCCCTTTTTTTCCTGCATCCATTTTGACAAGGTATGATGAGATAGTAGCTATGCCTGCTAGAGGGCATAGCGACACCAGGGTCGATGTCCCCTGTAGTACCCTGATTGGTGCCCAGGGCACCAACAGAGGGCATACTCACATGAGCACATTCCCGGATGTATATGGTCGCTTTTCCAACCAAGATGCACATAACCGTTAATGCGTCCACAGAGAAGGGAAAGATGTGACCGTCCTAGTGTGAGTATATGCCCAGAGGAGAGGCAGGCACGTCAGTTTTCGGCAAAAAGCAAAAGAAATAAAAGAGGAAAACAAAACAGTTCGCAGGCAGCGACCACTAAAGCAGCAATATTTGTTTTTCTTTTTCTTCTTCCTTTCTTTTCTTTCTTTCTTTCTTTCTCCTTTCACCCCTGGAAAGCAGGAAAGTTTCTACAGCAACTTGCTTCCAGCTTCCATCACTTCATTCAGCAGGAATCGTCGGACAGATTAGAAAACGGAAGCTTTACGGCGACTGAAGGCATCATCGTCTGATAAAAAGAAAAACCCTTGCTTCCATCACTTCATTGAGCAGGAACCCGTGGATGCGACTGAAGGCATCATCGTCTGATACAGAACAGAACTTGCTTTCATCACTTGAGAACTAAGTCTTGCTTCCATCACTTCATTG